TGCTCCATCAAACTCCTCTCCCTCGTGGCTTTTAGACACGGGTGCTTCCCACCACGTCACACAAGACCTATCCACACTGTCCCTTCATCACCCATATGATGGCACAGAAGAAATAGTTATAGGTAACGGTCTTGGTGTTCCTATCACTCACACTGGGTCTCTTTTCTTACCTGTTTCTTCATCAAAGTCTATTATGTTATCTAACATCTTATGTGCTCCTTCTATGTCTCGCAATATTATTTCTATATCTCAATTGTGTTCTGACAATAATCTTACTATTGAATTCTCATCTGATTTCTTCGTTTTGAAGGATCGACTTACGGGGGCACAACTCCTGAAGGGGCCAGTTAATCATGGGGTTTACGAATGGCCCTCTTCCTCAAATATTTCAGCTTACTCTACTCTTAAAGCACCGGCAATAAATTGGCATCATAGGCTAGGCCATCCTTCGTCATCAATTTTCAAGCATCTTGTTTCTGATTTTAATCTACATGTCTCTAGCACTTTAAATTTCAGTTGTAATGCTTTTCAATGCAATAAAAGTCATAAACTTTCCTTTGCTCATTCTACCTTACTTTCCCACGCCCCTCTTGATATTATTTATATGGATTTATGGACCTCTCCGGTTCACTCTCTTGATGGTTTCAAATACTATGTTATATTTGTAGATCATTTCACTAAGTACATTTGGTTCTATCCTCTCAAAAACAAATCCGATACCAAACATGTTTTTATTCGCTTTAAGGCTCTAGTTGAAAAATTTTTCTCTAAAACTATCAGAATTCTATACTCGGACAATGGTGGGGAATATGAAGCTCTAGCATCTTTCCTAACTATCGATGGCGTCTCTCATCTCACTTCCCCTCCTCATACTCCTGAACACAACGGCTTTGCCGAACGACGACATCGTCATATTGTTGAAACAGGCTTATCTCTTCTAACCCACTCTCATCTCCCTCTCTCCTACTGGTCTTATTTCTTCTCCACTGCCACTTATCTGATAAATAGGCTCCCCACACCCACTCTGTCTATGAAATCTCCATATCACTGTCTGTTTGGCTCAATTCCTAATTACCTAAAATTACGTTCCTTCGGTTGTCTATGCTACCCGTGGCTAAAACCGTACACCTCTCACAAATTAGAGCCAAAATCCAAACCTTGTATCTTCATAGGCTATTCTAAAACACAAAGCGCGTATCATTGCCTAGACCCCATTTCTAACCGTGTCTACACCTCTCGTCATGTGCGTTTTGTTGAAGATGAATTTCCAATCTCCAAGCTCACTAGCAATGCTTCTTCCACCCCTATTCCTAGCCCAAGCACATGGTGTCAAATCTCCCTGCCCATACTACAAAACCCAATACATCAACCTGTCACCGAAGTTGCTGACTCCACGCCCTCTACCCGGCCCCACATGTCTAGCCCAAGCCCCTCACCACACAGCCCAACTCCGCATTCCTCCTCTATCTCAACCCCACCAGCGCACTCTTCCCCAGCCTCTTCCATGCACTCTGCCCAGCCCAATATACCTAGCGCCGAACCCACCCTCCCCACCCACACTCCTCAGTCCTCTTCCATCCCATCCGGCATTATTACTCGCTCCAAAAATAACATTTTTAAACCAAACAAAAAATACATAAACCACACTACTACCCATCCTAAACCAGAAATTCCACGCAATATTTCACAAGCCCTGAAAGATTCGAAATGGAGAAAAGCCATGGAAGAAGAGATTGCGTCTCTTCATCGTCTTGGTACATGGGACCTAACCTCTCCAACAGTTGCCTCCAATGTTGTGAAGTGTAAATGGATTTTCCGAATAAAGTACAACAAAGATGGTTCCATTGAAAGGTACAAGGCACGCCTTGTTGCAAAAGGTTTCCAGCAAAGATCAGGAGTCGATTACACCGAAACCTTCAGCCCGGTTGTAAAACCAGCCACAATCCGTATCCTTCTTAGCCTTGCTATTTCTCAAGGTTGGTTCATTCGCCAACTAGATGTCAATAACGCCTTCTTGCAAGGCTCGTTGAATGAGGAGGTATTTATGGCTCAACCACCTGGTTTTGCAGACCCTGCGCACCCTTCTCATGTTTGCAAATTGAAGAAAGCAATTTATGGCCTAAAACAAGCTCCTAGGGCTTGGTACACTGAGTTGGCTTCCTATCTTGTTGGTGTTGGTTTTCGTCGCTGTGTCTCTGATGTTTCGTTATTCATTCTGCATCATACAGCCAATCCTATTTATTTAATTGTCTATGTTGATGATATTATCGTCACTAGTCCTGACCAAGCTACTCTCACCAATTTTATCAAGCAGTTTTCTAACAGGTTTGCACTGAAGGACTTGGGTGACCTCTCGTACTTCCTGGGTGTCGAAGTCATGCCTACAACTAATGGCCTCTTTCTAAATCAGCGCAGATACATTATTGATATGTTAGATAAACTCGGCATGCTTGATGCCAAACCAGCCTCAACTCCCATGGTTTTGACAGAGCATCTCACGGCATCTTCAGGCACTCCACTCACCGTTCCAAAGGACTATAGAGCTGCAGTAGGGGGCTTGCAATACCTCACACTCACTCGTCCGGATGTTGCCTTTGCAGCCAATCGGCTATCTCAGTTCATGCACTGCCCAACAACGGCTCATTGGACTGCCCTCAAGAGACTTCTTCGATACCTAAGTGGTACTCTTGACAAAGGAATCACAATTCATCGTGACACCTCACCTATCCTACATGCTTTTTCGGATGCTGATTGGGCAGGTAATCGGGACGACTATATCTCTACTATGGGGTATGTTGTGTTCTTAGGTCGCACTCCTATCACCTGGTGTTCCAAGAAGCAACGCTCACTGGCGCTATCCTCCACTGAAGCTGAATACAGATCGGTTGCTGCCACAACAACAGAATTACTATGGGTTCGCAACTTACTTACTGAAATGGGTGTTACCTTGCCTTGCACCCCAGTCATCTACTGTGATAATCTCAGCGCCACGTACCTCACTGCAAACCCTGTTTTCCAATCCAGAATGAAACATCTAGCCGTATCCTACCACTTCATTCGAGAACAAGTTCAGCAAGGCGCGCTGAGGGTAGTTCATGTCTCCACAGGGGACCAACTTGCAGATTTTCTTACCAAGCCTTTATCTCGTCCTCGACTGGATTTATTGCTTAACAAGATCGGACTGTCTGAACCACCGTCCGTCTTGCGGGGGCATGATAGAGTCACACGTTAGTTACCAAGATAATTATCCTATGCTTAGCAAGATAGTTATCTTATCACTTATTTATAGGATTGTATTATTATCTTCTTTGTAGCTTTATGTTTATCTTCTTGTAGCTGTACGTAGAGCTTCTTGTATATAATATAGGCTGTATACTCATCTTTGTTAATTAATTAAGAATATACAATTCTTTCAATCACTATGTCCCAATATTTTATAAGTAAAGATTGGTTATTTTAGTTAATCAACTCATTTATTACAATAATTTATGGGGGGCCAGGCCCCGAATAGCTCCAGTGGAAGGTCCCCCTCTGATCATGGGTGGAGATTCACTTGATAGCCATAATTTGACTACAAAAAACTCAAAATTGATGAATTGCAACAATAATGCAAGTATTACATATATATCTACTTTGTAAATCCGTAATATATGGAGTAAATTTATTTATTTATTATCAAACTACTATACTCGTATCATTTTTTCCAATAAGATTAGGTCATGCCAAATTAAAATAGAATCACTAAAAAGAGCTAATTTGGCCGTCATGTTGATGATTGATGAACTTAACTCGTACTAGAAAGTATAATACTTTTGTGAAATTAGAAAGGTGAAAAAAGTGGATTAATTCTAATGTAAGAGTCACCAATAATAATTCTTATGATGCTTACATAAGAACACAACAACTTTTACTTGTTAGTTCTTCCTTCTAAAACAATAATAATACATTAATTAACATAGTTAGGTTTTAGTGGTTTGACCCCATAATAAAGGTCGAGATGCGCTAATCAAAGCATTAACAATAGATAGATCTATATTAATTAAATATTTAAGGTGTTATCATGTTGGGATCTCTCACAACATCCCAGTTAAACAATTATTAGCCAACATTTTTTAATACAAAATAAATCAAAGTAACCTAAAAAACTCAAAAATGCTATCAAACTAGTCAAACCAACCTGAAATATACACCTTGATTTGTAAAATTTAACTCAAAATTACGTGGCCTGAAAAATTGACATAATAATTCAAAAAATCAATTAATCTCAAATTCACATTGCTAATTATCTCAGGCTTCTTAACAAAATATACACAGTATATACCTCGAAAAAAAAAAATACTTATCATAATATTAAAAATACTCATAAACGCATATTAAATATGGAGTATTATATGATAAAAAAAAAAAAACACTTAATCCATTGATTACCACCTCTTTAATATTGAGGGATAAAAACTCATACAAGTAAAAAATCAACATGTCTATGCTACGGTAACGATACTTTTATTTAAATTAAATAAGGTCTAAACCCGCCAAAATAGTGAGACTTTGGGGGAACAAGCCCAGACGTACAAGTTTCAGAATTGTCAATCGCTTTCCCATCGAGCTACAAGGTGTGCAACTATATTACAAGAACGCTTAACATGTTTAAAACTACAAGCATCAAATTCGCTAAGTATCACCTCTATTATCATTATTCCAATAATACACCAGATAAAAAAATAAATAAAATCATTGAAGTAGGCATTGACTACACATAATATGAAAAGAAAATGAGGTGGAAACAAGAAAAAAGATACATTTAACATAAAAAAGATAGCAAATCAAGATAGAAACAAAAAATAAAAAGAACAATATTAAGAATATACTTTTATCTAGTAAAAGATACCAGATACCTTCTCCCTTTCAACCAAACTACTCTTTTCATTAATTTTTTTTTTCAAAATTAGGAATTATTTACAGCAGTAATTAGCTAATTAATCAGCTGTATGAAGTCAAAGATTATAAAAAATAAATAAATAAAAATAAAGGGACCCACAAAAATAGGGCCCAAACACACAGTTCATTTTCATCTCTTCCTTTAGGTTTGCAGTTAAATACGGCACCTCTGTTCTCTTCTCTTCCTCACTCTTTCCTTCTTCTTTCTCTCTCCTACATTCTCCTCAATTTCATAAAATTAGAAAAAAAAAAGGGGGAATTTCTTATTTCTTTTTTAGAAATATTATTTGCTGAATTTCTCTAGTAGTGGAGGTTTAACAAGTATCGGGTTGTAACGATTGTCTAAAGGTACGTTCTTATACAACAACAATATCGAAGCCTTAATCGTATTGTAGTATTGAGTCGGGTGCATTAACCAATATGATATTATATCCGATTATCGGGTAGTCGTCATTCTCGTCAACAAATATGTTGTTATGTAATCATTAATCATGAATCAAGATTTATGTTTATGAATTTATAAATGCAATTTGGTTATTTTTTATAATATGTGATGTTATTTTGAATTTTGGATTTATAATTGTGGATTCAGTCTTCGTATTAGTCCAAAGTATCGTTGGAAATTCATTGTATTATGGTTGTTAATTAGGATTTGCGTCATTCATCACATGCTTCGTTGAATGTTTTCTGTTATATAATCATATAATCTTGAATTTTCTTTTATTTTATTTTTTATTTTTTGGGAATGTGTGAAATTTATTCGAAGTAGTTAACCTAACGCTAAAAAAGAATTATCGGATAATTATTGGGTGCTCAGAATCCCAGATTAATGACGTAAAAACCCTATTTTAATTTTGTTGTTTCTATTGTTTTAAGTGGTTTAGCAAATTTCAAATAAATTAATTTATGAGCAAATAAAATAAGAAAAAGATAAAAACAAAATCCGGTTGTTTCAAAGTGTGTTGGGAATATAGGAAAATATATTATTGTGATATATTTTCCATATATATCTTATGATATATTTTCCATATATATATATAGCCTACATAAGATAACCTACACAATATAAAGTCTATCATATAAACTTCCATAAATCTATCTTAGAATATCACTAAGATATATTATTATCCTAAATATAATATCATAAGATATATATGGAAAATATATCACAATAATATATTTTCCTATATTCTCAACAAAGTGAGTGATTATTTGGTTTCAAAAAAAAAAAGTGAGTGATTAATTGCATGGGATTAGAAAGCGTTAAATTAATTTTGTGAGGTTTCCTCGGACTTCCATTCCATTATTTGTGGAAGTAAGTAAGTGGGGTATGATTACCTTTTTTCCAAGATTCTCTTTTTTATTTTGTCTTTACCTCTGTATTTTTTTTTATTTATAAAAGTATTAATTTTAATTTGTAAAGTTACATTTTATCATGTACTTGTATTTACATATAAAAATATAATTGTATGATTGTATCAGAAATTAGGAGGGGTGCTATTTGTGGTGATGGGATCGAATTTCATTTGCATCATTGTGTTTGGAGTGTCTTATACATTATATGGAGTGGAAAACTAATTAGGAAAGTTCGAGTGAATAAAGTAATTTTATAAGAGTTTTGAAAATTTTGTGACAGTTGAAATAATTTATGATGAACTTGCTCTTTACTGAAAAAAATTCATACTATATGAGAATAATGTTTCACTAGTGGCTTGTTTCTGACCATATCATTAAAGCACCCTGCTACTCTTTGCTAAACAAATGCAGAGCATAAAATTGATAATTTTCTATAATTTGATAATACAATATGTTATCTTTGCTTGAAATAAGATGTTAATCCTGTCATATTATCTCTATACGGATATGACAAATTAAAATAAAGACACTATATAATTGTTTGAATACTAGTCCATTTGTATTGTTACCGTCACCACATGACATTAGTCGTGACAATTTGGAAAGAGTAACCACTTACCACTATTATGCTAAAATGTGACAAATTAATCCGGACATATATTTGTAAGTACTATGACTATTAAATAGTAACCCAGGATGTACATATTGCATGAAGTTTACAAAAAAGCAGTTCACATGATATTGTCACTACTCATTCATTAACAACAAAAAAAGGTCACCATCTTTGAATTTTCAACTTCATGACCCTAGGTTTCAACTTGTTTGAATATCTTTCTAGAAGTGGACTTGTTTGAATAATTTAGCATTGATTAATTTTGCCTCTCTTTTATCAACAATAATAGAAAATTCAAAGCAACATGTTGCATCATAGTACTTGGGTTGTTGTTTATTCAGATTAACTGTTAATGTTAGATGTAGAATTATAGGTAACATTAGAATAATGGCCCTCGAGCCCATTTGAAATGACGAAAATACCCCCATGTACGGAATCATAATCTATATCTAAATTGTACATAGTATTGATAAGGGTCTCCCCTGTTTTTTCCTCTGTTTCAGGTTAAAAAAAATGGCACAAGATCAGCTAAAAGTGCTGAATGCACTAGATGTTGCAAAGACACAATGGTATCACTTCACTGCAATTGTGATTGCTGGAATGGGTTTTTTCACTGATGCATATGATCTCTTTAGCATTTCATTAGTCACAAAACTTCTCGGTCGTATATACTACACCGAGCCTGGTGCAACTAAGCCAGGCTCTTTGCCTCCCAATGTCTCGGCTGCTGTCAATGGTGTTGCCTTCTGTGGTACACTCTCAGGACAGCTTTTCTTCGGGTGGCTCGGAGACAAAATGGGAAGGAAAAAGGTCTATGGTATGACACTTATGATGATGGTTTTATGTTCATTAGCTTCAGGACTTTCCTTTGGAAGTGAGCCTAAGGGAGTCATGGCAACCCTTTGCTTCTTTCGGTTTTGGCTCGGGTTTGGGATTGGAGGGGACTACCCTCTTTCAGCCACTATCATGTCCGAGTACTCGAATAAGAAGACTCGTGGAGCTTTTATTGCTGCTGTTTTTGCTATGCAAGGGTTTGGAAACTTGACTGGTGGAATTTTTGCTCTTATTGTCTCGGCTGCCTTTAAGGCAGCGTTCCCTGCACCCTCCTACGCGACTGATCCAACCGCCTCATTAGTCCCACAAGCTGATTATGTGTGGAGGATCATCCTCATGTTCGGTGCTATTCCTGCTGTTATGACTTACTACTGGCGTATGAAGATGCCTGAAACTGCTCGTTACACCGCTCTTGTTGCCAACAATGCTAAACAGGCTGCCTCTGACATGTCTAAGGTAGTACAACACTTAGCTTATCCATTCTTCTATTATAATAAGTACTAGTATATAATATGAACAAGTCTAACACTTTTTGTCTTGGTTTTGTTTTTGTTCAAAGGTGTTACAAGTGGAGATTCAAGAAGATCAGGAAAAGGCAGCTGAACTAGTGGAAAAGAATAAGAGACAATTTGGTTTATTCAGCAAGCAATTCATGAAACGACACGGTCTTCACTTGCTTGGAACAGCCTCCTGCTGGTTCTTACTAGACATCGCGTTTTACAGCAACAATCTCTTCCAAAAGGACATCTTCACCGCGGTTGGCTGGCTACCAAAGGCGCAAACAATGAGTGCTCTACAAGAGGTCTACATGGTGGCTAGAGCCCAAACATTAGTATCCTTGTGTGGAACTGTCCCAGGCTACTGGTTCACAGTGGCCTTCATCGATATCCTAGGCCGTTTCTTCATTCAATTGATGGGATTCCTCTTCATGACCGGCTTTATGTTTGGACTAGCCATCCCTTACGATCACTGGACTAAACCCGGGAACCACATTGGGTTTGTGGTCATGTATGCCTTCACCTTCTTTTTCGCCAACTTTGGGCCTAATGCCACCACTTTTGTTGTGCCAGCCGAGATCTTCCCTGCACGGTTAAGGTCTACATGCCATGGGATTTCGGCTGCAGCAGGGAAAGCCGGGGCCATCATAGGAGCATTCGGGTTCTTATACTTAGCTCAGTCCCCGGATAAAACCAAGACTGATGCAGGGTATCCACCAGGCATTGGAGTTAAGAACTCACTGATGATATTGGGTGGAATTTGTGCACTAGGGTTCTTCTTTACATTCCTTGTTCCTGAAGCTAATGGAAAATCATTAGAAGAAATGTCTGGTGAAAATGAAGATCAATCTGAAGATGAGTATCAGTCTGCTAGCATTGATAACAGAACCGTTCCTGTTTAAGATTTTTTTTTCCTTTTTTTTTTTAATATAATTTTTTTTTTTTTGGTTTAAAATACTTGGTATAATACATGTATTTCTTCCTTTTTGAGGTTCTAAGGCTAGGAAAATGGCTGCACAGTGCACACTAAGGTGCATTTGCATCAAAAATAAGCACTTTTATGTGTTGTTGCTGCTGCTGCTAGCAATTGGCTACCGCGAGTTGCTAAGTTTAAAAATTTTGTATTTTGCAATTAATTGAAGAGATTTTAGATTACTCCTTGAGTAATTTAATCAATGTAATGCTAATTCTATTATATTGTGCAGTTCAATTTTCTGAATTTGTTTGGCTAATTGCTAAAGCTTCTAATAACTTTCGGGATATGGCTAGCTAACATAACTATGTACCACGTCTTTTAACTTTTGTGATCATGGTATTTAATTGTGTTGTGTACTTGTGTGCGTGTGTCCATATCAATGTATCATACTCGTAACCATCTTAATGGTAATCTAGAAGACGTCGCACATAGTCTCTATCTTGAAAATTAAGGGGGGAAGATAATGTAAGAGAATTGAAAGGGGGTAACATCTAACAGTATAAGGCCATACATATAATTACATATATACATACTCTATTGAATTGATTGCAATTCTGCAGCTTCCGAATAATTGAGGAGTTATGCGACGACCTTGACTTGCAGAACTGAAATTTCAAAGAATCAACTAATTTGGGACCTTAAGAATATGACTACCATTGTTGATTTATTTTTAGTGTCTTTATGTCTGTTTAAGATAGGTTAGAACTAGTGAAGAATTGTTGACTTTTCCTACCTTAAAGAGTTTTGAAAGTTGGTCCAGGCCATTAATGGGTGTCATATTGGACTATTGGTTCTTGTATTAGGGAAATTTTGATGCAAAATGAAAAGAAATGGTGACTAAGGGTCTGTTCTCTTACGTTGAAATTCAGTTCAGTTCAGTTCAGCTCCTAATTTCCTTCTCTTATAAAATATTCAATTCAGCTCAGTTCAGTCAATGAGAACAGGCCCTAAGTTATGTGTGTTTTGAGTCTGTTTTTGCCCAAGGCTTGCACCCTTTACGTTTTCTTTAACCCTTGTACCTTGTGTCCTTGTTCATCTTGTATCTAGGTACGTATGGAGGTTAGACTTTGGAGTTTACACAACTATATTTGCTTCTTACTTCATTCAGGATTAACTTTTATTATCCATATAAATACCTCTAATTTAATGAAACAACATTAATTTCAATAGCTTTAAAATATCCACAATGCCTAACTATATGTACATTTAGCTTTGGATTGCCGCAAAATTATTCCCCAAACTACATTATTTAAGCTACAACCGTTACAATGGCAAACTGCATCATTTTGTAATAAATAAACCATTAAAGAAAAAACAAATACATAAAAATTTCGAAGTATCAAACAAATTAATTGTTAGTGGACCATCTCAACCAAAAACTTAAGCTGATGGTTGAGGCCCAGGAATATGTTTTATACTCTATCACTCCCCCTCACACGAGAGCCCGTTTGGGCTAGAAGTGTGATTGCAGCATGGGCCCTCCTCATACCCAGCGCTTAATATTCCACTTGAAAGTGGGGGTGGATGAGATTCGAACCCGTGACCTTTGTGTCACGCTTAAGCTTTTGGTTGAGATGGTCCACTAACATGGTATCAGAGCCAGCGTGACACAAAGGTCACGGGTTCGAATCTCATCCGCCCCTCCTTCAAAGTGGAATTAATTCGCACCAGGTATGGGTGGGCCTGTGTTGCATCCACATTTCTAGCCCAAAGGGCCTTTCATGTGAGGGGGAGTGATAGAGTATAAAACATATTCCTGAGCCTCAACTATCAGTTTAAGCTTTTGGTTAAGTTGGTCCTTTTACATGGTATCACAGCTTCAGGTTTTGATCTAGCTTCCGCAATTTTTTTTTTTTAATATATGTGCATTGGGAGGAGTGAAATTACATAGCTCTATAGAGTTATGTAGTTTTACCTTACAATGTAGTTTGGCCTTACAATGACTATCATAAACCTCTAATTATTCAGAAATTGCAAGTAGGTCCTTTTATGCAACCATTGTGAATGCTCCTAAATTCCTAATTTATGCTACATTTCTTTTTTATTTTTATGTATGCCGTCTATAACTGTATCAATAATAAGTTTTTTTTTTTAAAAAAAAATAAAAATGTAACCGCTTATAACTCTCTCATCAATCATTGGCCAAAAAAATAATTTTAATTTTGAAATAAATCTGATGGTGACATAAAATGTGACGAAAAAGAGTAAGGAATTGAAAACTCGAAAAGATAAGTAACCATGACAATAAAAATGGATAGTCACACATGACATACCTTGTGGATTGCAAGTTTGCAACTCTGAACCTTTACGTCCTTCACAACTTTTTTTCGGCGACCACTACATTGACTTGTAAAACGTTGATTTTTCGATAAAAATGTTATTCGGTAAGGGCCTGTTCACATTTATTGAATTGAATTGAATTGAACTAAACTGATTATAGTTGAACTGCACTGATTGGAGCTGAACTGAACTGAGCTGAAATTAATTTTTAATGAGAGAGGAAAATTAAGAGCTGAACTAAACTGATTGGAGTTGAACTGAACTGAACTAATTGAAGCTAAACTGAACTGAAATTAAGTAAATGTGATCACTGAACAGGCCCTTAAATCAAGTTACCAACAGAATATGACATCCACTAGCTTCTGATTTGTGCTCATGTTCTTGTTCATATTTTATTCAACTTGCCTAAGATGATATCTTTACTAGCTTTTATGGAGTATGCACTCAAATTAAATCCTACATATGCATGATGCAAACTCTATTTTATAATTCAAAATAAATGATCACATAAAAAATTCAAAAAGAACTTATCTCATACTTTAATACTTGTGTTCAAATGTTTGCTTTATTTTTCTTGTTTGCAATTTTGGCCGTGAGTGCTCTTTTTGTATTTGTACATTATTTTAAACTATGTATTCTTTGGATATAAAATTTATGGACTTTCAAGAGTATGATGTACAACTTATCAAGCACAATAATTCCGCAAATTCTATCATCATACATTAAGGTAGTGTACCCTTAGGGTACGGTGAGACACTCAATAATGGTTTCCAAGGAGCATGTTTGTACAAGCAAGAATTAGTCCAAGCATGATCATAAACAAAGTGAAAACTCAAGCAAAAATATCTTTGTGAAGAAAATAAGTTCTTTGATTATTAAACCAGCAAAACTCGATCTCTTGAAAATGTGAAACAAACACTGCGAAAATAGCCAAATTCAGTTCTTTGATTATTAAACCAGCAAAACTCGATCTCTTGGAAATGTGAAACAAACACTACAAAAATAGCCAAATTCAATATCGTTGTTTGTAAGGTAGTCTACATATATATATTTCAAGAACGTAACTTAATTAATGATATGATAGATGTAAATTAGACAAGAGTTTTTGGTCTAATTTAAATCATTATATTGAAGCTCAAACCTTAATTTCAAACTTAAACTTCTTTTCATTGAAAATCAACAAAATTATCCCATTAATTATGTTGAAAATATTATATGTTACTTGTATAACTTATCAATAGATAGTCAATCAGTTGTTAAATTGGAATAAAAACCCTATTCTCACCTTCGGATAGATTCCCATTTGCTTATGTGAGCATTAAGCTAAGTTGAACTCACAATTTATGACATGAAAGTTCTTATAATCGAGTACCAAGCCAAGCCAAGCCACGCCACGCCGAGCTATGCAAAGCTCAAGCTTAGCCCATCTCAGCTTGTTACAATGATAATGATAATGATAATGTGATCCTAATCTCCCGTTATATCTTACCTTTTAAAAAAAACTGATAATATAATGATAATGATAATTTCCTAAATTACTTTTACCAACATTCAGCTTAATTACCTAAAGTTCATAAAGAGATGATCAAATAACAAGCTAAGAACTAAAATGTAAATGCTAGGTAATAAGGGGGCACACGAAGTTGGACTTTTATGAATGCGATTCAATTTGCACAATAGCGTTGACTTTGGACCAACCTACTTAGTACTGATATATAAACAATAATAAAAAAAAATTAATAAAAAATTACAAAAAAATGCTAACAAAACAAGCACTCTACTCCACGCCTCGTCCTACATATTTACTTTGGCCTTTCGGCTTGATACATGCCACCTTGACTTATAACACACACCCTCGTTATCTTCTCTATATTATTCACTCAGTCATTCTCAGCCTCTCACTAAACTCTTGTACTCTCTTATGGCCTTATGTTTATTATTTAATAACCAATCATTTTATTATCACATGAATTTATTAAACGCCATTCAATAAATTCATAAAGTATATTCGTCGTTTTCAAAACATCATAGAATTACGATAAAATAACATTTTAGAATAAAAACAATTTTAACTAGAATCAAAATACACATCGTACTCTACTAAAGTGCACAAGATAACCATCAAACAATGGTAATAACACAAATATAAATTCGCTCTTTTTTTTTTTTTTTTTTTTTTTGTAGTTCTCTAAATTTATGTAGTAGACACTTCTACTCACTTTATCTATTTTTTCTTTCTAACGTTAATTTTCATTTATTACTAATGACCTCTTTTTTTTTTTTTTTTTTTTTTGAACAATACTAATGACCCCCTTTAGTCCACTACATATTCCTATATTACAAACCCCCTGAAAAAAAAAAAAAAAAAAGGAATGGAGTCTTATGTTAAAGTTTGTCCTTAAAAAAAATAAAATGGGAAAAATTATTGTGCGCAACTTATGCTATTATTCCGTACATGTTTATTATAGTTTATTTTATATATTTTTTTCATTAAAAATGATGATTTGAAAATAAATTTGACACTAGGGATATACTACCTCCGGTTCAAATTACTCGCAACTTTAGAGTATTATTTGTGAGATATAAAATATTTCAAAGTTGTGAGTAATTTGGACCGCATGTAGTAATTGTGATTTATTTTTTATAGATATTATAATATATAGTACTAAATAATTTATCTTTCTTAAATAATACTCGTAGAATAACAATATATCAAGTACGGAGACACGGAGTATTGATGTTGAAATATTATCAGTTTACGGTTTTGAGTGATCAGGAATGTTAACTTAAAAAAGAGATGGCTATACTGTGCTACCATGTCAAATGGCCTATCTATCAATATACAAATTAATTTGGGCCACATTAGCTTGCACTTGCTACAACTAAATTTCTATGGGCTACGGCCTATGTAGAAGCTCATAGACTGGACTCATAGTGAATCTGATCTCCGATCTCACAC